CGCTTTCTGCGCAGCTGCCTTCCACAAACAGATCAATCGGAAACGCAGGAAGCAGAAGGCAGCTCGGTGAAGAAAGGTGCTCTTTGGCAGCGCTAGTTTGGAAATCCCCTCAAAACTTTAAGAGAAGCAGCTTTTTAAAGCGTGCATGCAACAGATGCTGGAGAGCAGTTTGCGGTGGTATGGGAATTATAATGAAAATCTACCCAAAACCTGGACTTCTGTTTACAGTTTATTCCAAAAATCAATGTTTTAAGTGACATCCTGAAGGTAGAAAGAGTGCAGTCCAATAGAGTAATTTTTTTTTTTTTTTTTTTTAAAAAGTAGTTCAAATTTATTTCCTCTTGCTACGCATTTGCAGGAGCTGGGGCACAGTTCCCTGTAGTAGTAATTCAAAAAAAACTCATGCAAGTTCCTTAAAAACCAGTGGAAGCATTAGCCTGCTGAGGCCCTTTGCTTCCAAATGGGCTTAAACTGACCCATATGTTTCACTGGTCAGTAATTTTTCCTATTTAAAATTATAAACCAGCAAGAACAGCAGCTGAAATTTAAAATCATGTGGCTGCACTGTGACCGTACACATTGAGCAAAGAAATACATGCAGCAAAAAGAAACGTATAAAATAACCATGGCAGCTATCACCAGTTACCGTATTTCCCTGAACTACATACATTCATACTGTGCCACACTGGTAAGCTCTGGCAGAGTATGTCGTCATTGTTTCCATAGTAACTATATTTCCAAAAAGAAAACAGCAAAGGGAAATAAAAAACAAAAGCGTAATGTGGGAAAACAGAAACACACTTGTGCTATAGATTTTTATCTGCCCTTTTTCTCTTTTTAGGATAACATACACCTCGACTGCATCTTTATCACTCATAACACAGCTCCCTCCCAACCACGATACTAACATCACTGTATCCTACTGTGGTGGGTTGACCCTGGCTGGGGGCCAGGTGCCCACCAGAGCCGCTCTATCATGCCACCTTATTCCTAAAAATTGGATTTCCTGCGCAGGCCCCTTCACCTTACTTTGTTTTATGGCAAAGCCAGCCTGCAGCAGGATTTGGATTAAGGTGGCATGATAGAGCGCAAAACCAACACACCTACCTGTCACATTTTGTGTTTGTAAAGCTAACGCTATGAGGCTTACCATTAAAATGGGAAAATTGCACGGGTTGAATAGAGATGTACAATTTATATGCAGCTCAAATCATTCTGTCTGCTGAACGAGGCAAAGTAGAGAGCTCAATAATATTATTTTTCCTACTTTTCTTTTAATTCCCTGTCTCAAAATTTACACTACTACCCGATATAGGAGTCTGATTAAATTCTCTTAGAGAAAACAGTATTTACAAATCTCGGGCAGCAGAAACAAGTGCTTTTGCAGCTTTGACATTGGCTGCCAGTTCTGTTTCCATAGAAATGAACATTCATTTGCTGAAAAATGGGGAGGTGCTTTAAAGAACCTTCTCCAGTTTGCAGGAATATACATCTATTTCTGGTGGAGTGAAAGGGCAAAACTAGCAGCACACGTAAGATTTTGCTTAACAGGCAAACATCTTGATATGATTCTCTTACTATGCAACATCATCATGAATGTAAACACATCCCAAGGTTTTCATAACAGAAAATCATTCACATAATTCACACTGAAGAAATGATGCCTGGTTTTACCGTCCACATCTGAGGGCAAGGAAGGATGGGGGAAGGGAGGAAAATAATTTAAAAAGAAAGAAAGAAATCAAAGGTCAGTTGGAGAGGCGAGTTAGCAGTGTGATATTATTTAAGCCTGTAAGACATCCACATCATGCAAAAGCACTAAGACTCTTGCCCGGTCCCCTTGTTAGACACGGTGCCTTCTCGTCTGCTGGCTTTTGAAACTCCTGGCCACATCCTGCCCCAATTATTCCATCCATACATGTTTAAATATGCATTTCACCTCATCTGCCCTCCAAGAGGATCTGTCAGTCTCCAACGGTAACTCATTGCCCTCCTTCTCTTTACAGTTTTATCAGGGATCAGATTCAATAAAGGAAGATGGCAGCACCAGACTAAAGGGACTGTTCACGCCAGGCCCGCTCTAACTCAGTCACAGGGATAACAAGATATTAAATCTACCAGTGTGCATAAGACTGCAGGTACAATAGCTTTTCTTCTCCTCCCTGTATTTCTCCCACATAACTAAGCATACCAATACAATGTTTTTAAAACCTGTCATGTGTTTAATCATGTTAATACAAACATTTTTAAAAATATATTTGTTTTGATTATTTAAAATACTACGGAAAACATTCTTGTATTCAGATTGTTTAAAGCTGTGAATTTTGAGGGGTTTATTCTTTCTTTTTTTTTTGTCTTCCTCCTAAGTACATGCTGAATAAAGAGAGTGAACAACTGACATTAGTATTATTTGATAAAAGAATCCTAAATCATATCTCTGGATTCTCAGAAACTAGGTCAACACAACAAAGATTTACTACCAGAGCAGTGTCACTCAGGACTATGAAGAAGCCGACATCTTCCACAGTTGTATTAGGAAGCCCTTCCCTATCCGTCACACACTGAAGAGAACCTTCATCAGTACAGTTAACTTATTTGGGAAAGTAACTCAATCTGGCAAAAAGCCATTCCTTTTGCTGGTAAAAAGGTCCACTACAGAGCTGCGCCAGTCTAATTATATTAAAGCCTGTCGAACTTTTTTTTTTTTTACCCCCTCCCTTCCCTCTTTGAAACATAACCCTATTCCCCACTACAGTCCCAAAACCTATTCCAAAATATCCAAAGCACTAAAAAACCCTCATCAATGCAGTAACAGATGGATTTAGACATTAAAATCTGGCCTTTATCCAGAGATGTTTGATAAAGATCCTACAAGGAAAGTTGGTAACAAGGCTACAAGGAATTCAACAGTAACTTTCAATCTACATGTGCAAGTGGTAAATACAAATTGTCCTTCAGAGAATAATGACGGATAAAGCCAAGGTAAAGCACTAACAATAGAAGACCGTCTTTTCAATAACATTAAAAAAATGTCTAGATGGATGCAACAGATAAATTAGGTTCAAGGAAAAACACTGAAACCAACGTATTAGAGGGATTCTGTCTCTACAGTACCAAACCAGAATCGTAGTAACTTTTGCATAGAAATTGCCACCTATTAGACAAAATAAATGGGTTATACCACTGTAGATCAGCATTAATATCTGCATTTTACAGATGAGAGAAAAACAGTTTAAAGAAAAATCATCAACTCTCTTTAAACAGAGGGAAAAAGCTGAGAAGTGCTATGTAAACTGGTCCAGCAATGTTATATTCATAATTTCATAGATATTTAAATTATTTCATTATTATTTATATTCCTTCATGTAACTTTCCCCATTCTCCTGACAACTACCAACAGGAAAAAATACATGTAAAATGCATCTTTGAACCTCTCAAACCTATGCAGCAGTATTAACTTTAAACACAAACATAGTGGTTTACCCTTCCACAATGAGTAAATTTACAATCTAACATAACATTTATGTAAAACATGTCCCCCTCCAACTAGCATGTTTTCTTTCAGTTTCTTTGATGCTAATCATTACAAATCTATTTTTGTATTGAGCGTTCAAGAATAGTGGTTATTTTATTTCAAAGCACAATGTGGCATGGAAACTCTTACTGCCTCAAAGACAAGAGTGTAATAACACATTCCTTTGAACCTACAGTCTCTTCTGTTTTCACACTAACCAGAAAAGGGCAAGAATATTTAAAATGGAAAGGTATATTTGAGTACATTAACAAATCATATGCATTCCTCAGAATATTTCTACTCTTGCATAGTTATACTTCTCAGATCTAACAGAGTCTCCTTTTCAGTCAGCATAGTTGCTTTGAAAGGAAAATGAACATTAGAACCCTCCCCTACAAAACAAGATCTACTGATTCCTTGCAGAAGACAGACAATGAAGCTTTCAAAAACAACTATATTAAAGCCACTGCCACAACACCTCCTTTGTTGTACTGTTATGCAACAGTTTTTTCTTAAATTATTGTTTTAAGTAAGAAATTATGGTTTTACTCACTTATACTATAAAATACGGTATCAAGAATGCAGTAGGAAGCAACAAGGATTCTCTGCACAACAGTTTTCTTTTCATGAAATACACCAAAAGTAAAGAGCTCAAACTCAGTAAAGTCTTAACTTCAAAATTTAAGTGTCTCTGAATGCTGTGATCATCTATTTCTGTAATTTAAAACTCCATGTATTAGAATCATTAGTAATCATTTTAACTGAGAAGAAATCAAACACATTCATCACTACATTACCATTTTCTTTTAGAAATATACTGCAAGAGAGGATAAAGGTCCACTTGATTTTTTTTTCCCATGCATGAATACTTTGCAGGATTCTTCTATCCTCTACTGAGCACACATGTAACTTGTTAAAGATTCACTGCTTGTTTCCATGCAGTTTCGACACCTTTTTCCATTATATTCTGAAAATACTTTCAGTAACATAGTATAAGTTTGTTTCACTGTCTCATTTTCTTAGTACTTCCATATGTTTCTAGTTACCCATCTCACATTGATAACCCTAACATTTAAATATTTATTTTGAATTAATCTAAACCTGATTATAAATATATCTTTCATACTCACCACCGATGCTACTTAAAATCATATTTCCAGAGTTTCTTACTTCATCAAATTTTGCAAAGATTGTTTGCAACCTGTAAAGAACAGCAAAAATATTTTTACATCTCTGAAATCCCCCAGCTTACTAGTATAAACAGAAATCAGTTTGTTAACACATATAAAGCAGTAACACAGAATATATAAGGGATTAAGAATATCTTGAAACAGTTCCCAAAGGACTCCTCTTAAGTTATTGAGCATCTTCACACAAATGGACAGAAAACTAAGTCAACTTAGCAAAGAACAAAACTGAGCATTGTTATTACATGATAAAAAATAATTAAAATTCTAAAGTTCACATTCAGTAATAGTATATAATGGGTTCAGCTGACTGTGATATTACCCTATTTATACTCAAGACTAAAAGGCAACAATTTGAACTATGGAATGTTCATGTGGGGAAAAAAATAGGGATTACTATTTAATTTGTTCTGAGACAATTACTAGTTTTCCTCAAAATTTTTGTTCCTTGAAATATTCTCAGTTTTGTTATGAAAATACTTTTGTAATAGTTAGCACTTCCACAGCAAAAAAAAAAACCAACAAACTTTTTTTCTAAAACTTCAGGTACACTAAACACTTCAGTTATGTTCAACACGTATCCCACTAATTTAAACCCTCACAGCAGAAAACACAGTGCAAGTTCTTAGCTACATGTAAATAGCAATAAAAAAACCCACCAAACCCATACCCAAAAAACTGTAGACTTGCAATCTAGTCCCACAAGGTAGAAACCCTATTCAAGCAAGCAAGCTGGCAAATCTTAAACAGCCATTTCTCATCACTTCTGCAGAAAACTCAGTAAGACTGGAGGAAATATCTCACAGAAAAAAATGTGACCCACAGGCTAGCAATGGGTTTGTACTGACATAATACGCTGTTCAACTGCAAAAAATTGAGAATATTTCCTTACATTTCTTCAAAGACTTTTCTGCATTTTAGACTACTCAGAATACAGTAGTATCTAACATGCATGTGAAGTTTTAGCTACGAGACTAGCAGGACTGAATCCTGACCTTAAATGCAGAGAGTTATGAACTGCAAATCTCATGATAAGTCTGCAACTCTCCAAACAGGTACAGTTCAGCTACATTACCAGTGCTAGAGACTATATTACCCAATTCCAAATTTGCTGAAAGAGTAAATACTGAAAGGCTCTGTTTACAACTCACAATCCAAACTATTTTAAGACAAACCAAGAAAAATGGGTAAGAACAGTGCTTGGGTATGAAAATACTCACAATACATAAAGGAGCAAAGTCAAGGACACACAAAGATTTAACTTTGCCATTTCCTTATGCACACACCACTTTTACTCAGTGACCTGTGTAGCGAGTCTGTGCACCCTCACTGTGCGCAGTCTAGCTTCTCTGACACACTGCATACCCCTTTCATTCACTGGTGCCTCATTTATCTAGTAACGAAGAACGTAATAAAGTCATGAAATGCAGCCAGACAACAACATGAAAAGCCCAATCCTTTCCCCGTATTTTCCAATGTTCTAGGACTCTCACTGTGTGTTACTTTTACTTTCCAAATACTTCAAAGCAATCTGCTACAGAGCAAATTTGTCCTGTACTTAACAGGCCCACAACAAGAACTACCCAGGTTTAGCTGAGAATTCCACAAGAAGGCCTACCCTACTGCAAGCACCTAAAGAAACAAAACCAAAAAAACCCTTAATCGTGTAAGCCAATAACCCATAACACAAGCCAGCAGTTATTCCACAATGTCAATTTATCTCAAAACTATATGTAGCTCAGTAGTGGTTTGCATAATCTTCCCCTAACGTACTTGTCAGTCTTCTCTCTGGAGGAACCCATCATCCTCTCCCTTTTGCATCACTATTGCATTTACAACCATTGCAGCCACAGTAAAACATTTGAAATGGCAGCAATTCACAAGTGTCAGGCTACACTGCTTTAATATTAAACCTCCGTCTTTTAATGAAAATGTCAATTTGTAAAACAAAGGCAATTTATACCGAAACGGGGTTTTTTTGCACTGAGACTTGAAAAAGTAAAACTACTTGTATTATATTAAACGCTTTGGGAACTAGCATTTACTAATAACACATGGAATCCCATTAACGTGCTATGCGCTTTCAAACATACAAAGCGAAAAGTTCACACAAGAATCAATACACATAGTAACGCATTATGCCATCTTGCTTTCATAAAAGGAAGTTAATGCATTTGCTTCATATGTACCATGGGAAGTATTTTTACTGTTTACCAGTCACTGGTGTTGACTGACTGTTTAAACTAAAAGAGGGTAGATTTAGATTAGATGTTAGAAAGAAATTCTTTACTGTGAGGGTGGTGAGGCACTGGAACAGGTTGCCCAGAGAGGTTGTGGACGCCCCCTCCCTGGAAGTGTTCAAGGCCAGGTTGGATGAGGCTTTGGGCAACCTGGTCTAGTGGAGGGTGTCCCTGCCCGTGGCAGGGGGGGTAGAACTGGGTGATCTTTAAGGTCCCTTCCAACCCAAACCATTCCATGATTCTATGGCTGTGAGTTCCCTTCAACACTGCTAGATTCCACACTAAACACTGCATTACCAGTCCACCTAGTCAATGAGGAGGACTTAACACCACATCTGAAAGGCTGAAATTGTTATCCTCAGAGAAATTGAACATGAGAACTAGAAAGAATAACAGATTTCCTTTAAAATTTCACTTCAATTTTTATATCCTGTTAGGCTGATGTCATACATTTGGCACACATATTTTAGAGAATTTGAAAGAAAAAAAAAATTTCCTGTTCTTTTGAACTTAGTTTTCAAAAACACTTTCCTGAGCGTTTTAAACAGAAGAAGAAAAATGAAATGCTTCCTACATTATAATAATACACACGGTGTCTCTCACTCTGGGCAAAATATCTGAAGTACTTACTATGAACATTAAAAAATGTGTTGGTCAGCACTGGATCCTATGTAGTCAGTGGTGCAGGCTAGAGACCACCGGAGTACTGCCACTCCTAAAGCTTTCAAAGCATGTCTTTATGACCAGAGGCACACTCTCTAGTATTTTGTCATAATTACAAAAGAAAAAAATTCCAGTAAAACACAACTGACAAAATGGTCAAACACTACTGTAGATCCAACACTCTCTTTATTACAGCTTACAGGAACTGTAACTACTATTTTCCAATGACTCTCAGAAGAATTTTCCTCCTCCCTTTCCTCCCACCCTGGTCTTCATGCTACCATCTTCTCGTATTTCTTCACACAGCCATAGGCAGCAAGGCAGTATGGGCTAAGGTCTCTAAAATTATTGCAATTACCATCAGTTTAAGAATGTTTACAGGAGTTCAGCTCCTGGCAAAAGAGAGCCTGGCCAAGAGGAATCTAAGAAAGTTTACAAGGCTGGGTGAAGACTGGTTTCACCGTCATCAGCAACGTGGAACGTTCTTTGAGAAGACCAGCATTATTACTCATTCCTTTGTCTCATATCTGCAAGCCCAAGCCTGGATATGACATGCATAATCAATCAGTGAAGTCATCAGTCAATAGAAATACTATGTCACTGGTGAATAGAAATACTATCTTCTTTCTCCAAAAAGGCACAGACAGGTCTCCTGCAACTTCACATATGGAAGGAAAAATCCTTGATGAAGAGCACATGTTCAGGACAGCAGGCCACGTCTGCATGGGCTGGATGATTGTTGCTGTCTCAGTGAATGAATATGAGGTTGTAGCACTTTAAATGGGGGCTCCTGGCAACCTGCTAAACCCTCTGCTCCGGCAGATGACAGGTCTCTATCAAAGGATTAATGTATTATGGTGATTACGTTCAATGAGAGGAATACGTACCCTTCTAAGACATGGCATGAGCTGACATGCACACACATGGAAACGCAGATGCTAGCAAAGAACATGCACTACACTTCTAGACTGAAAAGCCATTATTGATGACCATGCTCGATGGAGCTCAACTGTTTCCATGACAGGCAGAGGGGGATACCTAGAAGTTTGGACTTTGTGATGAAGAGGCAAAAAAGGACCACTGCCCTGTCAACAGCAGGAGGATGAAGAAGAAGAAAGGGGGGGGTAACTAGTCTGTTCTTCACGTCCAAAGTGAGTCTGAAGCAGGAAATGGCCCATATGAAATCTCACACTTATTTCCCCTTACTTCCCCCTTCCAAAAAAAATATCTTGCGCAGACATGTGTCCACATCTGGACACACAGATGGGCCTCATCTACAACATCTATAACTAGACAGATAAGTAGAATGTGCATACCACATAAAATGTGGTATTCAGAAATGCATACTGCAACATTTCAGGATATGAAGTTGTGACTCTAGACATAAGAACTAAACAAATAACTGATTTTATACATTTATGTTTCTCAACTAACAGTGGGAAAACGTGTCAGGTGACTTCCTGAAAGATCTTAAAAAGCTTTTAACACTCACACTAAGCAACTGCTACCCAGAGCCACATATACTATTTCTGTTCAGGGAAGATCAGCCACACAGATTCCATACTATAACAAATTCAATTTGGCCCATATAGAACAAAACCTGTTTGCTATTCTTGGCTCACAGTACAAAAAAATATACCGTCCACTCTCAGTATTCACAAATGTATTAAGACTAATACTTACAGGCCCGATACCAAAGACTGTCAAACCTCTTTGGCAGCAACTTTAACAAAAGGGAAAACATCATGCAAATTTCCAACCACTGACTTGATACTGATTTTTCTGAAAAAGGAATGTGCTTCAGGCAAAAAGCACAATATTATTCTGAGATTAAGTTGAAAAATAATAAATAGAAAGAGGAACTAACTGATTTTATTTATAAACAAACTCACAAATTAATCTCTAAAGAATAAAAATGCACTGAAGAAAACACACAGTAGTAGCAAGTAGAGTTGAACTACAAAAGTAAGATTCATCTTCTTTCATTGACTACCTAGACTCCAACAGGTCCAATACCCTTCTCTAGAAAATGCAGTATTTTCCACAAAGGCAAACCTACTAGGTCCGGATTACAAAACCTTTTAAGCATACTATTATTAAATTACTAACTACATTTGGCTTGCTATAGACACAACATGTATATGCCATTTGCATATTTAAGGAAATTGAGCAATTTCTCAAAACAATGCTTGATTAACTTTCCTGCCTTCCTTTCAGGAGACATGAGCTCTTATTTTCAGTGCTTTAGGGCAGAGTGCATTCAAGCAGCACCACACAGACCTCTAATGCGTAATTTGTTATGCAAACTAAACAAGCCTACATTCTATCAAATCATGTGTGCACCAAATACTGAAGTAATGGGGTTTACTGCTAATATTTATGCTTCCACACAATTTTTAATGCACTGCCATACAGTGAAGGAGCTGCAGTGCAGTTCTTTAAGGCTGAACTCAACCGAAAGCAGCTGTGTCTGAACCACAGATTATCCATAATACTTAAACCCCTTAAAACCTACCCAGACACACAAATATGAACACAGATTGCCCTCAAAATAATGATGACACTCTACATCAAAGGTTTCTTCCCACAGATCATAGCTCCTGCATAACCACATGAAAATTTTAATCCATCTAAGTGAAGGGAGAACTTCTGACAGGCACTGGGGAAGAAATGTCTTAAATTAGGACTACCTCTGAAGGAACAACAGTCTGAGCTACCATAGAGCTAATCTGTCTTTCCTGAGCTTTGTCAACTGCCTTGATACTTGTGTGAAGGAGTAAGAAGAGATTACAGCAACTCTGCTTTCTGTCAGTGACGGATGGGACAGTGTCTAGTAGCCTCATGCTCAACTCCCCCCTTAATCCCAACCTAAAAACTACTGCAGAGAACACAGCACCGAGACTCAGCTCATGCATTATTTTACACTAGCCTTGACTGTCAGGTGCAAAACTGTTAAGATTCAGTGGCAACAACCGTTTAACACGCACTGAGTAGAGCCTTGCTTCTTTATGTAAATGCAAATGCTACAACTATGCTTCCTTTCAGATCAGGGGAATTTTGTATTCAACTGATTCAGAGAGTAGAAATAACAATTTGGCACCTACTGCAACTAAATTAGAAGCTGTTGACTGCCCTGAGGATACAAAGCTCCTATAGTGTTTAATCCTATTTGGATCCCAAGATTTACTCAGTTTGTAGCACATGAAAACATGAACAGGATGAGTGCTGAACCTAAACTTACAGTCAGACCCAACATTCATAGTACGAACAAAGGCTGTTATCTGCACTCTTCTGGTCTTATTTTCTGTTCCCAAAGATGTCCAAGACCCCATCTTAATGCAAGAAGGATCTTCTCTGGTATGTTCCAATTATCTGCTACGAAACTCAATTTTTAGAATTGTAGCAATAATACAGCTTAAACTTCTGTGGTAACCATACAATCTCTTAACAGACAAAAATTGTGACGGCCATCAGATAGAAGAGAATGCGTACAACTTCCCATAGGCAGGGTAAGCTTTTGTCCAAACAGGCTGAACTCTGCCTGGAATGTGAAACAATAAATTTAACAACATTCTCCCATGTTATTTTGATACCCTACAAATCATCATTAAAAACTAGGGCTAACAGTTGTTTAGAAAGGTCTGATGAGGCACAGTACCCACTCTGATATTCTCTGTGACACCATGTAGTAGATATATTCAGCTTTATCAAAATCAAGACATGAGATGAAGACTCAGAGAAAAGTGGTATGTTAATTGATAAGGGGTTAACACAAGTATAAATAGTTTTAGTAAGGAATTTGAAACATTTTATTGTATAAACAGTGTTTCCCACTAAGTACAATTTCGAGCTCTGTCTAACTTTCTTAAACCCTTACAAAGGTAGCAGGACAACAATGGCTACTTTTATTTCATATAAACTAATCTACACATAACAGACCAGCTTTTAAAGATCAGAATTGTTTTTCAGAAAGTACATATTTTCAAAACTTCCTTGCACCTTTTACAGGAAACATCCAGTGTCCCGTGATGGCATGTGTAACAGTTACACCAATGAACACTCCTTCTGAATAATTATTTCTCATTAAACCCCAGAATTGCAACCTCCAAACTGGGAAGTAATTATTTTGAAAAGCACCTCTAATCTAACTGTAGCCTAGGGTGGAAAGGACTGATCTGATTTAATTTGCAAGAAGCAAGGGAGGACAATTTTTCCATTATAACTATCTTCAAGAAAGTAGTAGCTTGTTAATTTGTCATACTTTCATTGCACACGCACTTGTTCTCTCTCACACATGCACAATACATGAAAAGTATTGATCTAAGTGCTTCAGTTGAGACTTTTCTACACTGGGGCTAACCAGCAACTCTAGAACACGGAACAAGATGTAGATATTCAAGTATTTTCTAATTATTTTCCCATTGCACTCAGTATATTTTTCCTTAATTTTAAAATATTTTTCTACTACTGTCCAGCTCTCAAAATCCTCTGACTTTAAGAGAAGCTAACTGGTGAATGTAAGGCTGCTTTTCATCATACACCTGTATGCCTCTTCCAAGCAGAAAAGACAACAGCAAAAGAAAGTCAGGAACACTAGCAACAACACAATGGAAGCAAAACTAACTAGAAGATAAAATAAAAATTGTCATAATTTTAAAATTAAGTTTTTAGTGAGTTTAAAGTTCTGATAAATAACAGTAATACAGAATGGGTCGGGATTACAAAATCAAACCAGCTAACTCACCTTCCAGGAGGAATTCCTCTTTTTGTAAGATCTATTCGTACTTTCTCTCCCACATGTCTGTAAACCTCTACAATGGCTACTATGGCAGCATCTCTCACCTGTGAATGCAGTTTAAATTGTTAATTTCAGGGTTACAGAAACCAAAACAAATTTGCTGACAACCATGCCAACTCATTTCACAAAACAGTTGAAACAGTGAGGATGGAAAGGAAAGGAAATACAACTGTTATTTCAAGATGGTATTTGTTCCAAGTTAGAGCATCTCCAGATGGTAAATGAAAAATCCTAGATATAACAGCTCTAGAGGGAATTTCTGGGACTGACATAAGAATAATATTCATGGAAAAAATGTGCTTTATTTAGGACTCTATCACAGTAGGCAATACTTCCGAAAGCTAGTCCCTGCACTTAGTCTTGACAGTTCATCTTGTTTTCATCTGTTTCTACATGCAGCGAGGCCCTTCTGGAAAACTAAGGACCTGACTGCCCACAAGAGTGGGCCAAAGCGATGAGTGTTTTCTTTACTTCCTTCAACAGGAATTACGCAGCATCACATAAGCACAAGAAAGGTAGTAATGCAAGACAGGGGAAGGGGAAAGAACAGTTAAAGCCAGGAGACTGAGTGCCTCTAAAAATTTTAAACCACAGTCATCACGATAAAAGCTGCCAAAAATGCATGTTTGTAAATGCCAGTATTCTCTATAAAGAATTACTGGAATGACTTTAGTATTGTTCTTTGAAACAGTCTGAACTAAACCGACAATTGGTCTATCAAGATATGAACATCTTTACTAATGATCAACAGACAAGACAAATTCTTAACAGATTTTCTCTAGAATAGATAAATGCTATGCTATACAGAAAAGACAAGGACTTTGCTGCACCCAGAAAATAAGTTTAAAGACCTATCCTGTTTCTTTTCCCATCTCCTACCAATGCTACCTTCTTCCTTAATGTATTCTTAAGCTTTTCTCTCAGACACAACTTCAGATAAATCAGAGAGATCTTATCCATTACACTTGAAGGTTTTCTGAAGTTCAGATGTCACCATTATTAACTACATCTTGATTTTCACTGCAGATGTTTTTGGTTAATTAACTGATTTTAACTACAGTTTTTGCATGTGCTCAAATGCCATTTGGGTTCCATTTAGGAAATTATTACACATGATAATGTTATATTTAGCAAATTTGGCAGACTATAACAGGTCCCATGTAGAGGCTCCTTCTGGAGACAATTCTTCCTGTCTATTTTTTTCCCCTTTTCTTTCAACATGCTTTATAAGAAACAATTAATTTCAGTAATGACTAGTTTCAACCTCTGAAGACAAAACTAAAGGGACCAGTATATCACAACACTGCTGCCTTTGCAACTTTACTTTCATCTTCCAATGGATGGACTGATTCAGAAGAAAATGGGTTTATTGTTTCTCATGCTAGAAAATAACAATCTGTTGTATACAAACAAGCCTATCAGCTTTTCTTAAACGCCTATGCTTAATCTGCTTTCATTCCTCTGTCAAAGCATAGTTATTGGAGCACCAGTAAGTAACGAAGTCCTTACCTGACTATTCGAGTCACCAAACGCTGTACACAGATGTGGTACCAACTTGCTGAGAATTAATGGTTGTGCACCGTAACTTAAAAAAAAAAAAGTTAAATATAGTTTTTAATAGAAAAACAGAAAATATTTTATGCAGAAGTGAACTCTTAGATTCGCATTGATAAAATACAAACTAACATCAATCAAGCTCCATCTCTCACTAGTCCTTTGTCTACTTTTAAATAAGACAAAAATACTATACCTTTAGCCTGTCTTTCAGAAAGCTCACAAGTTGTTTGATTTTCCCCATTTATTAATTTAATTGAATCAGACTTCCTTAACTATTAGCTTCAGAGAAAAATGACATTCAGAAGAAGGATAGAACCATTATGTCTCCATAGAAACAAAAAGCTTACATGTTTAAGGTAGCAATAAGACACAAACACACTCCTTCTCGGGATCGGTAATTCTTGTGTTTAAAACCAACAGCAAGGCGTTCCCAAATGTACTAGAAAAACAGAAATAATTGTCTTTAATCATCAGGAGCACAATACAAAGTAATTCTATCCATATTTTATAATTACATTCATCATAGTTGCAAAAAAATAACAGAAGACAGCTCCACTGGAAAAGTAAAGGCACTTCTCAGATAAAATTAAGTTCTAAAATGCACAGTATAGAACACAACACAGATTATTCCTATGGCAAAAACAATTTCTAAAAACATCCTTCAGAAATCTAGCTGAGTATTTTTATTGTTTGAGAAACAGCTCAAAACCATACAGAATTGTTACAGTTAACACAGAGAACAAACATTAATGTTACAAACTACTGACTCAAGCAGAAGTTGCTATATTCTTTTTGCTTCATATTCCGTTTCCCTGTGAAAATTTCCACTCATCCATTTTAGCTTGTCCTTATCCATACTCCTGCTGTCCACTTCTCCCCTATTTTTGCTTTAAATTCATTTCTTCATTTTTCAATTATTTCTTGCCCATTGATTCCAATTCCTTTGCTTCCATTTTTGTTCTGCTTTCATTTCTCCTTTTGTGCTGGTGCCGCTTCCTGTAGTACAATTCTCTAGCTCACTAAACCCTCATTTACCTTCTTGCGCACTCGTTTTTCATTGCCTGCCTTTAATCTTTCCCTCCTCCGTTTATCCTTTTACCTTTCCATCTCCTTGTCGTTCTCTAGCTGTATGTTACGGTGTAAAAAGTGTAAACATGAGAGCTTACGAGCCTTGGGATTCTCGGTGGTATTTCAGAACAGATGCACAGACTCAAACTGCAACTCCCGCAGCTGCAACGCTGCCATGACAGCCTGGGCCAGCCCGCAAGCATCCGCGGGGAACGTTGCCTAGTGATGGCTGCACACTGGCAATCCCACATTTTGCAGTCTGGGCACCACCCTCATTCCTACCCCTCCAGTGGTGCAATCACAACAGAGAACGATTCCGTACTAAGCTGCTAAAACGTATTAGATACAAATTCTTACAATCATATTCAGCCTTCCAGAAAAAAAAAAACCACCAAAACTCACAAACAGCTACTGATCAACAAAAGCAGACAGCGTAAAAGCAAGAAATACTGCATCCTCTTTATTAATGAGGTAGTGCACTTCATAGCAGACCTAAATTTTTCCAATTAGAGCCTTGCTTGATCATTCTGTCCCATCTGTGGCTTCTTGTTTGGTTGGTTTATACTTCATTACATTTAGAGAAAACAAACCTTAGACAAACAGGATATGGCTTGCCAAAACTGCACAGCTTAACAAAGAACAGGATTTTACAGAGAAAAAGTCCTTCCAATTAACCCACTGTCTCGAACAAACAAGGGAAAAAGGAAATCTCCTTGCTAGGTGTACGAAAATACAGGTAGAAAGGTAATTGTACAGTACTGAAACAAAGCAGACTGAAGACAAATTTAGTCTTTCACTAAATTAACTTGACTAAGAACTGAGTTCTTCTAAACAGAGAAATTCAAATGGCTGCTTAGAAATTTTAACTCTCACAACTTGGTAGCAACAGGTGGTGCCAACCTCCCTTTGTCCCATTCATGCATTTATACCACCTATATTCTTATCTTTATGCTTTCCTGCCCATAACTAGCTACATCTACTTCTCTCTCATTAAAAAAAAAAAAAAAGACAAAAAAATAAACCCGAAAAACCCAAACACATTTAAAACAAGAAAAGGGAATTGACAACAGGACAAATTAGATAGTATTCAACAACATGCTAGAACAGGCAAGATGAGTTCATCAGGAAGGAACTTACAGGTCTTATCTCTACAAAAAGGATTCCACCCAGCTCTTCCAAAGGGGGGTTTCTCTGCAGCAAATGAGCCTAAAACTCTGTATTTCAGTGTTGGAGGCCCAGGAAAGACTCCTCTGTTCTGGTCCCTGCTGTGAGGATGATTAATGCTTTTCATCCAAATTTTTAATGATACATAAGCTGTCCTGGGAGCAGACACCTGAAGCCAGGCTTCTCCCATCCTAGGGGAGCTATCAGAAGAGCCATACCTTCTCTTATTTACACATGCTGTTCCTTGGACCTCATGAACCTTGTATTTCTTCCTACACTGCAGGTAACCTTCAAAGGGAATGGAAGCTTCCTTCCAGTGTACCACCTAACAACTGTTCAGAAACTGAAAGACGGACCAGTAATCTAAAACCCTTTCATGATGAGGGCCTAGCATGAAGCTACTATCACCACATTATCAGCAATTGTTCAAATGAAGGTGTCACCAAGATGCTCTGCTGTGCATTTATCCAAATGCTATCGCTGTAGAAGCATGTGTACTTCCAGGTCTCCATGCCAGGTACTTCAGAGCATCTTGGGCACAGAAACGTGTCGTTCATAAACTACCTGCACTTAGACATGACAAAATCCAGCAATGTCTCATCAATTAATATGATCAACACATGATCTTGTAAAAACGTAAAGGTGTATCTTTGTGGATGACACTACTAGAATGACGGCTAAATCCCAGTCAGATCTGTGATCAAATCATGTGAGAAAATACCTCATGCTTGAAGGGAAATAAATGTTTCTATAGTTGCCTCACATGCTACTTGTTTTTCCTATCAGGCAAACAAAGCAATTGAGAACAATTTTCTCACTGCAGATCAAGTCCACAAAATCTTATTCCCTGCGCACATTCAAACCTGTATCTATGAATAAACAAAGCCGGGAATTAGCACGCAAAAGACCGTCTTTTTCACTCACAAAATATAAGATGTTCCCTATTAACTTCTGCACTTAAAACTCAGAAACAGATTTTCTTCAGAAATTAAAAACTCAAATAACAGTTCCTATTGACAACCAGGGTCTCCACAGTTCAAATAACATCATTGCTCAAACAATCCTACATTTTTCAGATTCACACAGCAGAAATACAAGATTTAGCACCTGGAAGCCATAGTGCTAAGAACTGTAAAAAGGTTAGCTTAACTCAAACTTCAACCTAAGATGATGAGGCAGAGGGGAACTTATCTCCGTCTCAGTTTGTCAAAGGTTCACACAGTATGTTGTCATACATCTATAAAGTCAGATTTTCTAAGTTAGAATGCACCATCTCAGCTGCGGGACTACTCCTACGTGATCAAGTACAAAGGTAATTTTAAAATAAATTCAGAGCTAAATAAACTTATTTATTCTCATTATGCAAACTCAAGCCTAGGAGGTTGCTTCAAACATGCTTTAATTAACAAAGTCCTGCCACATGACATGAAAACATCTACTCAGAATCTAGCTATGATATGCAAAAACGGCAGAATTGCACTGTGCCAGATTTTTATCTTTAGCTGAACAATGCATCAGTGTCAATCCATTAAGAATATCTTAACATTTACACCATTAACAGTCACCGTAACATTGTGACATATTCAAAGTCAAGCTCATGCATAAGTCATAAGCTCACTGGAGGCCTACATTTGAATATACATTAAGTAATCATACCATAGGTGGTGCTGCTTCGTCCATCAATTTCAATATAAGATTCTGTGCTTGCTCTCGAACTTGGTCTTTGGCGTCTCCCATACGATCTATCAAAGGTGGGAGAACTGCAGCAGAGGGAACAAAATAAACAAACAAACAAAACCGATTAAACATCCAATGAAGATTTTCTAATACTTAAGGATATTTCCCTGACACAGATTTAAGATACATCTGATTCAAAAATTAAAATATTTTGATCAACTTAAAATCAGATTTTCAGTCTCAAATGTATTTCTGAGTATGGTACAAGACTAACAACAAATGAAATTGAAGAAAATAGTATCTTCCAACAGGCTAAAAAGAAAGCTTCCCATCTTAAAAACTGTATGAATTTACTTCACTTTAATCTGCGAAAAGTATGCTAGTAGCTTCTGAATGCCTGGCTTTTCTGAAAAATAATACCTAGGACTTGGGACATGAGAAAGAACTGAGATAGGAAAAATGACCATTTTCAAATCAGTGGGATTCTTCTGTTAAATTACAAAAAACTGAGAAGTTTTAAATCCTCCTATTCACAGAGTGTATTTACTGGAAACTTGGCCTTAATTCAGTAAAAGTATCAGTAAAAGTTACTATTTTAAAACAAGTGTCCTTGAATAATATTTAACTAAAATTGCATAATAGCTGATGATTTCACATCCTAAAAATCCTAACTCACTCAGAATGAAAGGACTAGGCAATTCTTTTCATTTGCTTATCCAGACAGAAGTTTCTAATTACATTTGATAAATTAATGTTACAATATTTAGGCAAGTTATCTAAATGAATGCTTAGATCAGCACAGTGCAAGACATCCAGCTATACTGGTTCCCAGTGCTCCATCTGGGGCCTACACACACATTTTGTGTGATCCTTCTTCCCCCGAAAGTGCTTTCGGTACCAGTTCTTCAAAATGGAGGGCGATGATACTGAGCGTGCCACCTTCCCTCAGGATGTACAACTGACATGGAATTGGTGGAGATGTCATCTCTCATGGGACAGCACTTTTAGTACAAGCATGCGAAACACCACCTAGAAAAAGCAGTGTCAGGTGCTAACAGTAACATTTACCTGTCAACAGCTCAACTTTCTGCATTAGCTTTTGTTTCTGATCTGATCCAGAGCTTTCTAAGAGCTCCAAGTATCAGTCACATAATCTAGGTGGAACTTATTCATCACAGACCCCCCATACACACCCAGCCCATCCTTCTGCTCCTGTGCTCTAGTTAAGCTGGGGCTAAGTTTGCAATTACCATGCCGTTTATTCCAAACTTCTAAAACTAGCATAATGTTTACCTTGAGTTCCTTGGAGACTTGCTCACACTTCAACAAAAATAGTAACAGCTAAAACCACCTTTTGCTGCATTTGGTGTTGCATCCTGAGAGTATTTTACGGTTGCTGCCTGTTCTCAGCTGCTGACTGCTATAAAATTAATTTTTCTATTCTACTCACAGAAGAAATAACTGTAGCACCCTATTTCTTGAAAGGGAGATCTGAAAGAATTTTAACAGTACTTAATGATTTTATAGTCATAACTAAACAATAGCATTGCCAGCAAAAGAAAGGGAACAGAATCAGTAACTCGGGAGGTCTCCTCAGTCCTCTGTTCCTGCATTAAAACCAGCAGTCATTTCTGTACCATGATTATTGCTGGACAAATACATTGCTGAAAGTTGAATTTCCCCTCCCGCAGTATCTGAACACTTTCTAATTGTCCTAATCCAAATATTTAATTCTATTGGCTCTGGATATTCCACTGACGTCTCTAGCTACCATTACCAAGTTTTTGCATTTTTCATCCAACTTCTCTTCCCTTTCTCCTCTGAATAATTTAATTACAGCTACCTTCATTTTACAGTTTGAAGAGAAGGGTTGGAGGTTGGTTTTGTTTGGGGTTTTTTGTTGCTGTTTTATTGGTGTGGGTTTTTTTTGTTTGGGTTGGGGTTTTTTGTTTTGTTTGGTGTGTGGTTGGTTGGTTTTTTCCATTTTGTGAACAGACAAGAAACATCCAGAACTCAAGAAGTGAATTTTGAGAGTACGCAGCTGACCTTTCCCCTACATTTGCAATCACTCATATACTTACTGATTACATTTTTCTTCCCAACAGTATTTTTCATTATTATTGTCAGCATTTCTAAACTGACCTTTTAACCTACCATACCTTACTGGTGAGGTCTGCTACATTAACCTGCCTGTTGGGCAGCTGAAGGCAACTCTTGCTTTACAGAGAAGGGAAAAAACCACGGCCACTGAGAAGCTGATCCACAGGAGGGAAACACAGCGAGCACGAGTCCTGCAGGAACACAGCTCCTTTGTGACTAATTAGCACGCTGAGTCAGTTGATGGAGCTGCAGATACCAGGGCTCTGCTCAAATCACTAAGGCAAGCACAGAAAACAGCTACTAGAAGCCGCTGAACAGGGGTGAGGTCATAGAGTTAAACTAAGCTATGACACAGCCTGCAGATTTCAGTGTGCGCAGCTACTGAACACACCAGTCTTTGTCATTCGTGGAGCTCTGACAGAGGGACAACGTGCTGGGGGGGCTGCTAAAGGGCCCAGATGCCTGCAGGCTTGACTGTTTTCTCAAGTTTCTGTAAGACCCCATAAAAGGCATGATATATTCTGTTTGCATAAGACAAATGAAATTAGGCTGTTGAATGCTGGCAACCACCAGCTGGTTTTCAGTTTGGTAGCTCATCTTCTCTGTCAGAACAAGCTCTGATAGGAAATTATTTGAAGTTGGTTTCCTATTGATGAAGTTTCAGAACGCTCAAGCAGAAGGGGTTCTCAACCAAACATATTTCAATTTCAATTCCTAATACCTTCCTCACTTTTTCTCCAAATGTTAGACATGTCTAGGGAAAGCTATAGGGAAAAAGAGCTAGGTTGTGTTAGCTGTTCTTGCTATGAACGAGACGGAAACACATCTCCCTATCTAAAAATTCTGACACCATTTGAGAGACTCAGGTCCATCCCAGCATCCTGTTTTGCTGATCATCCTTCTCCTTTCCATACTCCAAGCCTCCTGGCCCCTCCTTGCTCCCCTCTAGTCCTGCCCAGCCAAAATCACAGAGCACAAGAAACTTTGAGTTCTCATAAGAAACCTCACAAAGCCCAATGGGGCGACTACAGCTGAGTGTCAGAGATGACAGTGCAACACCAGCTTTTACACCAGAATAAGCCAGTGCTGTCACTAGAAAGCAGGAGCTTTGCCTACTCAGTACCCCAACCACTGTTTCCCCCTCACAGCCCATACCACCCATTGTACCACTATTTGTCTGTTTACAATGTGAACCGAGGACACACTTGGACATTCAAGATGATACGCGCATGTCGATCAAAAGCATGAGCTATGAGGTACGTTGGAACTGAGCCAACAGGAACAGCCTGGGGAGGTTTTGGTACCTTAGGAAGTATCTGCTGCATGTTTCTGCACTAAGATTTTATAAAAAATATCTTAACCTTGACCAGCTTTAGGCAGGTTAGCTGTTCCTGGTAGGACTAGAAAAGTCATAATTGCAATACAAGGGCACCCTTTCCCAAAAATTAAGTCTCTGCTTTAGGAGATTAGAGCACTACTACATCCAAAAGAATAGATGACCAGAAAATACATCACTAAGAACAATGCTTCACACACACACGTCATTTCAAATACAACTGAAAAATTATTTTGGCTGACACTTTTCCTTTCAGTTTTGTATGCTTTCTCATCAGCATTATCAAATTAGCGTCCTTTACGCTGCAGTGCAAATTGATGCATTTGGTCATTTCTGGCATCAGTTTGCAAGCTAAACAATCTCAAATAAATGTTGGAGTTAAAAGAAAGGTGACGAAGGAGAAGTAGGACCATGCATGAAGGCAGTCTTCAAAGTGGTAGTCTCTTAACAAGTTACCCAGTGAAGTATATAATTTGTCACATTCCATATGGATTCATGCACTCCTACTGTTTTATATTAACCTTATCCATCTTCTTCTGTTGCCTAGTTTAACTATTTCAAAGGGATTTTGGAAAACTTAGTCACATATGACAACTTCCTTTTATTTCTGATGATGTGCAGAGGATCTTTACACTAAACTTAGGAGACACTGATTCCTTTTACAGTTCCTGTTTTTTTTTTTGCAGAGCCAAGAAGCACTATATCCCATTCAATTTGCCTTTTCACCACATTTTAGCATATTGTCAAAGCTCCCTACCACTACCAACCACTCCTGAGTTTTTCGTTACAATTTCTACACTGTTATACCATGATTTTACAGGTGATGATTACTGAAGAAAACTTAGAAGTGTTAGTAAAAATATCCTATAGCACACATTAATTCTGCCAGATCTACCTCAAACTGACATGCTATTTACATCTGAGCTGCTATTTATGCCTTCTTCCTTTCTGATTATATAATAGTTACCTTTCTATTATATCCCTAACAGAGCTTATTATCCCATCGGTTTCTTTTCCATTGTTTGTCTTACTTCTCTTGGCTTGGTAAACCTAAATAAATTGTCATTTATCAAAATCAAGCAGTTATTTTATCACCACTAGTTGGACAGCAGATGCAAGAGTTAAGGCCAAAACCAGCCTGGAGAGTCAGAGTACAGCCTTCAGAGATTAAATATTTAATTTCCTCTACCAAGACTGAAGATGATAAACAAGTAAATCTCAGAAGTCAGTGCGTAGAATGGCACTAAATGTATTTTTAAAAATCTTGACAACTTAACTGTATGACACCCTGCAGCAAAGAATGCCATAGGTAACACAAACAATTTCCTTTTGTTAAACTTTAACAAGAGTTCCTTCTGTTATGACACAAATATGGAGTTTTTCAGTTTGTAGTATCACTCACAGCTTCTTCTCTATTCCTTTTCTCTTGACCACTTACACCTGCTCTTTGTAAATGCCCATTTTATATATACCCCCTAACGCCTACCCATTTCTATCAACCAACTTTAGATAGTCTATGTCTGCTCTACGGCAGAAACTTAAAAAAAGCATTAAGCAAGAATCTTTACCACAGAAATATCAGTGTTGGCAAAAAATTCTGTTACTAAAAAGTCTAACTTCTTGTCTTAGACATTAAAAGAAAAGGCT